GGTGCGCAGCTTGTTTGGGTCCAGGTGCACGCCCGGCACCAGGCTGCTGTTGCGCGCGTCCACCACCTTGACCTTGCAGGGCAGGTACTCAAAGCCCTGGAGCCCCTCCTCTAGCGTGCGCTGGATGACCCTTGGAGCGCTCGGTGCCGTAGAACTTGCGGTCAAAGGCGGGGTCGTCCCCCGCGATGCACACGTAGGCGGTGCCGCTGCCGTTGATGCACAGCTCCGCCCACTTGTAGCCGTCGGCGATGGCTGCGGGCGCGGGCAGGCGCGGCGCGGGCGCGGCTCGGTGGGCAGGGGTCTTGGAAGCGAGGCCCGCCGCCGCCGCTGGGCTGCCAGGGCGAGCCGCTCGGCTGCGCTGCCGTGGGGCAGGAGCAAGGCGCCGGCTGCCGCAGGCGGGGCGCCTCCCCGGGCAGCTCGGCCTGGCTCTCAAAATGCCGGCGCCACTGCAACATGCATGCCCGCCCGCCCACCCGCTCTCACCGTCGTTGGCGTGCAAGAAGAGCAGCTGGTTGCCCGGGGTCTTGGCGGCCTTGATGATTTCCGGGGGGGTGAATCCAAGACCCATGGACTTGGGCTGGGTGGGCATGGACCAGCTGGTGTGCAGCGCCTTGCAGGTGGTCCTGCCCAGGGTGCAGGACGACTGGTCCAGCCCCATGCACTGCCGCAGGCCAAACAGGTTGGACGGAAGCACGCGCGCCGCCCAGTCGCCCAGCGCGCCCGTCCACGCGTCGCAGTCTGCGGCGTGGATCACGACCCACTTGCTGCTCTCCTTCTTGGCCCGCACATCGTAGATCACGTCTGCGCGCCAGCGAGGAGCGAGAAGCGGGCACAGCATGCACAGAACCAAGAGGTCGGGGCGCCGCCTCATGCCTGCAGCGCTGCTGCAAGACATGCGTGGTACAGGAGGCTGGCAGGCGGCCGGCGTGCGGCGCGGCGATGCCGAGAAGCTGGGCAGCCACATTATGTGCAGCCCAGCGGGAAGAGCCAGCCATGTGCGGGCTGCCATCGCTCACAGTCGCAGTCCATTGATATCCAGGCCGTGTTGTTGGTGGCGGTGGCTCCGCGGCACGCCTTGTCCCCCGCCAGCGAGTTGGCGCACTCTGGCGGGGAGCCAAAGATGCAGTCATGATCATCGGCCACGCACCGCCAGGCCGCCGCCAGCAGCAGCAGCGCAAGGAGGGCCAGCCGTTGCGCTGGCATGGAGGCCATGGTCGATGCGCTGTCTGAGGCCTGCGCAAGCGCAAAGCAGGACGGTGGTGCTATCAAGCGCAAATGGCAGGGTGTCAGTGCGGTCAGACGCAAGGAGGCAAGGGCGCTGTGCGATCATTTCCTGGCGCTCCACCGTGTGCAGTCTGGCTGCAGCCGGCCGCCGCCGCTGCCAGGCGGCCGCCAGCTGCCCGAGGCCCAGCCCACGCGCCGGCGACCCCCGCCTGCCCATGGACAGCAGGCACACATGCTGGCATTCGCGTGGCCCTGGCACACGCGGGGCGCCCACTCTAGCCCATCTGTGCATGGCATGGCCCAAACGGCAAGCCCCACCCCCTTGCACCTTTGCCTATGGATGCCCGTGCAATGCTGGCAGGGAGGACAAAAAAATAACAAACGACAGCCTTGATGATGGCCGACAGGGGCAAGTACCATAGAAATGTGAGGCCAGGATGAGGCAGGCACCACCGCCAAATGGGCCTGCAGGCCAGGCTCCCCACCCCTGGCGAGGGGATGGATGACCATCACCCACACTGTTTCCTACTGCGCCACATGCTCTCCTGATCACTCCACAGGCTAACCACAGCGGCTGAATCTGCATGCGGCACGCCTGCCACCTTGCCACTTGTCTGCCGCCGCCGCGGCGGATGGCTTCCGACCCCCGCCCACCCCGCCAGGCTGCTGCGCGCCAGATCGGTTGAAGAAAGGCACAGCAACTGAAGTGTGAAACAGAAATCGGTGGTGTTGGCGCCGCTCTTGCCGTCCCTCCCGGTGTCACCATTTCGCCGTGTGTTTCCGTCAGGCAGACCAGTGCCACCGTACCTGTACAATGCACTCCTTGAGCCATGGTGCCCTGCAACACTTCTGGCATATTACCAGAGTACATTATGGTTGTGGGATACAAGATTTGAAAAGCAGGGGAGAGGCAGATCCGCAGCAAGGAGCAAGGAGCACCGGCCAGGTACCTGCTGTCATGTGTTCGGCGGCCGCCGCCAGGTGGGGCTCAACATTCGCAGAGGCCCAGGCGATGTCTGAAAGCCGGTGGCGTCTGGTTGGGTCATTTACAATCGTTGAGAACGCCCAGGAAGCACAGCTGTGCACAGCGGCAACACGGTTCGTCCAGCTTGGCTGTTCAGCCCCTCACGACCCACAGCGATCCATCATCTCCAGTGAACCCACACCTGAGTCCACGCCAGGCTTGCCATGGAGGGGCTGTGCAAGGCGAACCGCTGAAACCATCTCCGAGTCATGGCGCGGGCAGCAACTGTCCCGTTCCTCGCAGGCCCGCAGGCCTGGGGCCGCTTCCGCAGCCAGCCAGGGCCCCGCAGCAGCGTGCTGGGGCCCCGCCTGCCGCCGCACCGGCATCCTCAACTGGGCCGCAGGCCCGCGCCACACGTGGTGGTAGTGGCCAGCAGCACCGCGGCCGCGGCAAGTCCACCGCCGAGCAGCAATGGCGGCAGTGGGCAGCAGAAAGGGGCCGAGCCGCCCCAGCCACCACCGCCGCCGCCGCCTTCGGTGCCTGAGCTGCAGATCACAGGTGCGGCACGGGGGCGGGCAGGCTCATGCAGCACTTGCACCCGGCTGCCACCACCGGCATGCATGCTGCCTAGGTTGCGTCGCGCCGGGCATCACCACACAGCCTGCGGCGACCTGCCGGTCACCCAGCCGCTGTGCCCGCCTGCGAGCGGGCACCGCCGGGCACTCCCGCCTCGCACACGCCTTGTGTGCTGCTGCCGCCGGGGCTGGCTTTCCCCCCCGCTGCCGCGCCTGCCACTCCTGCTGTCCAGCCTCACCATCGCCGCTGCCGCCTGCCTGCCCGCCTGGCTCCCCAGCTCCCCCCTCTGCTCCCCCTCACCCGCAGCCTATCACTACGCCATGTTCTTTGCGCTGCTGGGCGGCGGCCTGCTGTTCCTGGCGCTGCTGCTGTACTTCACGGGTGACATCGAGTTCCAGCGGGCGGTGGGCAAGGTGGTGAAGCGGCTGCTGAAGACGGGCGCGCTGCGCCAGCTGGCGGGCATCCTGGGGGCCATGGTGTTTGTGCGGTACGGCCTGGAGCCGCTCATCAAGAACATACGCGTGCTGATGAAGGCGCAGGGCAGCTGGGAGAAGAGCAGCGAGTTCTACATACTGCGGGAGGTGGGCGCGGCGCGGCGCGGCGCGTGCAGCGTGCACAGCGGCAGCGGCAGGCGGCGCCGCCACACGTCGCACGCGGCGCCTAGTCAAGCCGCGCCGCCGCCGCCCTGCTCGCCGTCGAGGTTTGCGTCACCTGCCACCCCCCCGTCCCGCCCCCCGCTTCCCCTGCCCCCTGCCCCCCGCTGTGCCCCTGCAGCTGTACAAGCCCCTCGAGTTCCTGTTCCTTGTGGCCGCCTTCACCACGCTGGCAGAGAACTTCTTGCCGCAGCTCATGAGCCTGCCCAAGAGCATCGTGCAGACCGTGGTGCGCTCCACGCTGTCCCTCACATTCGTCATCGCCGCCGCGCGCGTCGTGTTCAACATCAAGGGCCGGTGAGGCGGCGGCGGGGCGGCGGGGGCGGCGGCGGGGTGGTGGCCAGCGGGCCGAGAAGGGAGGGGAGGCGGGGTGGGCAGTGGCAGGGCGTGTGGGCAGCAGGAAGAAAGAAGCTAGCAGGCGCTGCTCCGGCGGAGACATCTCCCGCCCACATGCGTCGCCTCATATCTTGCCATAGGGGCCCACTGCGTGCCGCTCCGTGTCACACCGCCGCCACGCTCGCTCCACGCCCCGCCTCACTGCCCCTGCCTCCCCTCTCCCTCCCCTGCCCTCCCTCCCCTCCAGCATCATCCGCGAGTCTGCATGGCAGCTGGAGCTGAAGGGCGACGTGACGCGGCAGCGGCGGCTGGAGGCGGTTGACAAGCTGATGAGCGTGCTGACGCTGGTGGTGGCGGCGGTGTTTGGGGTGCAGGCGCTGGGGCTGGATGTGAACTCGGGTGAGGGGCGGGTGTTTTGGGGGGGTGGGGGT